AAAACATCGAAATTATATATTCTTTCTGATCTGTATTCATATCGTCGAGATTACGGGCGATCGCGCGACGCACTCGATTTCCATGCAAAATTGTGCTTTTATCGATGCGCAGCGATCTGCCTCGTCACCGCATTGTTCCCCATGCGCTATAAGGAGACGGAAACACGCGACGCCGGCTAATAATACTCGCCGTCGGCCTAAACTCGGATAAAGGGTGTCAAATACGAGACGGCCAGGCAAGCAAGCAGGCAGGCAGGCAGGCAGCCAGCTACCTATTCGTCTGTCTATCCCTCTTTTTCCCTTTCTCAGAGAAGTACATAGAAGATACAACTGCCATCTAAAAGAAAAAGAAAATGGCACACTAATTCCGTGCCATAAAACGTACACTGAAAGAAAAAATATATCTAAAGAGTAAATAGTTATATATATTTGTGGTGGATATTACTAATAACATTTACTTAAATAAAATTTCTTTTATTTAAGTAGAATTGATAACTACTTTTTTCATGAGAAGCTAAGGTTTTCTTAAGGTCTTAAGAAGATATATTTTTCTTATTTGAAAATATTTTATATTGATATAATATGATACTATTATATTCTCTATATTATATTGATATAATACTGAGGAAATTTATCTGTAGAGAAAAAAGAGAGAGAAAGAGAGAGAGAGGAGATAAAAGTTTACAGAAATAAACTTGGCTTCATTGGAATAAATTCACAAAAATAGATTTTTTATATCCTACGAATAAATGTCCAACTTGTTTTTTCAGTTAGTTACCTATCGAGTAAATATTTATTACTTTTTAAATACATATTTTTTCCTCAGTGTAGCGCAGTAATTTAAATATTATCGAAATACTTGATGCACTGAGAAAAAATGCTTAAGAATTTATTTATGGGAAATGAAAGTTTATTTCACAGAGATAAACTTTATACCTCACAAAAAAATTTTCAAGTTTTTCTCTTTTTAGTGTACGCACGTTAACCCGTTCTTCTATGCATCAGTGTCCATATCTTCTTCCTTCGACTCGTCTTCTGATGCTGCGTCCGTTGCAGTACCCGACGAGTTATGCATCGCGCTCTCACCTCGTCCGTCTTCTGCATCGCATGCCGCGTGCATACATCTCAATGTTGCATTCGTGTGCGTTTACGCCGCTCACGTAGAGGCTACGTGCCGTTCGCGAAACGCGTGCACATCGTCCCGTTCCCTCCCACGTATATAGTGGAGTTGTGTGCGCTGCATCGGCACGATGCACTCTCGCCGGGCGATTGAAGATTCGCGAGCAGAGGCTCGGAGCGAAATTTGTCTAGTCGTGTAGTTCGGTGTGTCTGTTGTAATGCGTCCTCTCATTTGGAGGGAAATTAATCAATCGGGAAAAAATCAAACATTAACCAAATACATTGACTCTCACAGTTTGACATCATTTCGGTTTATCTCTTAATCTTCCCGAGTTTTCGGGGGAAAGTGGTCAGATGGCTTCTCAAAGGCGATCCCAAAGTTGAAAGTACCTATAAATAAATTAGGTCGCCCCGGGCTCTAATTGTTAGACCTTAGCGCGCGCGCGCGCGCGCGCGCAGGAGGGGATCAGTCGAGATGCGAAGAAATGCAGTTCTGCATCGGAACGATGCGGCTGCATCGTTCGCGCGTGAAAGAGTTCCTCCTCGCGCATACCACGCATTCCGTTTCTTCACCTTGAAAGAATATCACCGGGTGTCGGACGATTTCGCCGGCAACGGAACAGCAGGCATATGACAACAATCGATATGGATATTTTTGTTTCTTTTATTTATCATTATTCACAACATATCGTCTCGTATTTCACACCATGTGCGTCCACCTTTGCACACAGCAGTTACATTGTAGTATCTCACGCTCGACGCACCGCACGCGCTATAATTACACCCTCGATAACGATCCAGATCGGCGACGCGAGATCTTCTCACACGGCTCGGCCGGAAATTGCTCCAAAATGAACAGCGAGAGGATCGCGAAAAGCGCATTCCGGGATATCGCGGGCGCGTGTCCGCTCGCTAATAGAGCGTGACAACATCTGAGAGGAGAGGAGGAGGAGAGGTGTAGAGGTGGAGGAGGAAGAAGAAAAGGAGGAGAGATCGCTCTTTTGCGCACACGCACTCGCGAATATTATTATTTCTCCAGTATGTAGCGCACATCCTGGATCCTGGATCGTCGTCCTTAGAAGAAAGCGCGAGACCAGATACACGTAGAGCGCGTCCAATTAGCGGCCGCTTTATGATAATACGGTCGATACGATAAACGCGCTCGGTCGCTCGTTCGCTCGTGGATTCGACGCGAAGATGCTACTACAGAATGGAAAACGATAATAAATGACGTGCCGTTATAAAATCGCCGGCGAGAAGCGGCTCTCTTATCCCGAGACATCCTGACACGCCTCGTGAATCCTACCGCGCTACGAGCGGTAACGGAGCAAGGTCGTCGGGCGGCCTGAATTTCACTGCATTTTCACTTCGTGTACGAACGAGGACGTGATTTGCGGCACATACGGCACATGAGTCTCGTGACGTATAGGTCGTGGAAAAAGAGGAAAAGGAAAAAGAACGTCCGTGTAATCGCCCGCTCGATTTCTTCCCGTGATCGATTTTCTCGGAGATTAAATCTCGCGCGAGATGGAGATTTTGTTCCATATTTTTTAGCAGTTTCAACGCGAGAGGCGCGATCACCGTTGCGGTTGCGCACCGCGAATTACGTCCCAGTCTGTATTATATTTCCCGCTGAGACAGAATTGATACGCATTAATACACCGACGCCACCATTCGCCACTATCGGTCTCTCTCCCTTTCTTCAATCGATCGATCGATTTCCACGAGCGAAACTACGAGCGTACCGTTTTAGAAAGCGATCACGTTTTTTCGCCGGCAACGCAGTCTCACACTCGCGCTCGTCTTTGGTCCGGTACGTCGATAAGGAGAAGAGAAGCCCCTTCCCGTCGTTATCATTTATCAGTGACCTCGCGCGGTCACGCCTCTCCGATAACGAGAAAGAACGGTCGGACTCCTTCTCACAGCCTTCACCCTTCCTTCTTCGTCTTTTCCACGGTGCATTCGTGCCGGTGCATCACGGCGTACCTTTCTAATAGCATTTAAGAGCGACTTTAATGTCGATAGCGCATCCGTCCGCGCTGATGATTATTAATTTCAGTAATTTGTATAATCCGTGCTCTCTCCGCGATACATTCTCTCTAGAGACGTATTCTCGCGAGCTACACAGAGTAAGAAAGTCGCAACGAAGAACGAGAGAAGAAAAGAAGAGATTCGTGTTATTTCGTACATGTAGATACACTGAGAGAAAAAATATGTAAAAAATAAAAAAAATATTTATTCGATAGCTACTAATATATTTAACACATTTACTTATACCAATATATATAAATTTTTTTTTCACTAAGAAAAATTTTTCTAATAAGAATATATATCTTTTCTGAAAATCTTAATTCTATGCAAGCAATTGTTTATTTTATCTAAACAAAAGAATTTATATTTAAGTAAATATGTTAGTGTATAGTACCTATCAAACATACATATATTTTTACCTTTTAAATATTTTTTCTCTCAATATACAGATTTATCTTATTTTTTTTATCTACATATCGTAGAACAGAATATTTCTGACAAGGAGGTTTATTTGTGAGTGGGGCATCTCCAATGAAATAACTGTAGAGAAATGTATAAATCTATAAATGTATATCCTACAATTCTGATGTTTGCTACGTGATGAGTCCGAGTTCTTCGCTGAAAGAGAATTAAGAAGAATTGAGAAGAGAGTTGCTTCTAGGCAACTTTCAGATAAAAAGCAGCTCGAAAATTCACAGATGGGAAGCCGACCGCGAAATTCCGGAGACGTCCTGTGGATAATCTCTAACGCTGACGCATCGACGTGCGGTGATAAGCGGACGGATGATTTTGCGACTGCCATGGTGGTTATTGACAGTCACACGGGACGGTGCGACCCGGCAATGGCTCACCGCGCGAAATAGAGAACGACGTGCGAAATGTGCACGAGCGATCCGGTATCGTGATCCGGCGAGAGACCGAGGGACCGGATGTCACTTCCTGCTCACCACGTCTGCGCACGGCTACGTCATTGTAACGCGAACTCGTCCGTACCGTCGCCCTCTTCGTCTTGGTCTCCTTTTTCGTTCACGCGCTCCGGTCAATCGGTTGTTTTATCTGTAGTTAACGCTGATTACGCGACACGTCCGCGTGAGAGTTGCTGCGGATGTCCCCGGCTTGCGAGCCGGTCAGCTTCGTCTGCAAATATTCGCACCGTTTCTTCCTCAGGATTGCTTACAGTTAAAACCAATGTCAGAATATTGTGAGTGCGATTAATATTATCAGGAAATACCTGATCAATCGTCTCTTTTTCTCTTCATAGATCAGTTATAGTTCTCTCTCTCTCGCGCGCGCGCGTGCGTGCGACTCTTCTTTATCTTTTTATGTGAATCTATATTCTTTCCTCAATTACGTAACGAGGAAATAACGCATTCGCATTTATATCTTGGCGGTTGAAGATAATTGTCCGCAAACCGCGCGACGATTATTTTCGGTGTACTAAAAGGAGCGGCTTGGCTTCTCTTTTATCCGAGATAAGTCAGCATGGTAACGACGGTCGATCGCGTTGTTACGCGAGATAACAGCGCATCGGCTGAACCTTAAACCAGAGAATCCGCCGATAAGCGTACTCAACGTTCTTGGTATCCCCTTCGTCGTCGCCGTGTCAATGTGATAAGCCTCGACAATACGTCACGGTCAATCGCTCCCCGAGAAGGTCTTTATCGGCCGCAAAACTATCCCGGCGAGGCGAAATACCATTCCAACGATCATTCTTGCGAGTACACATACACCTAGAAAAAGCCACAAACTCCATTCTTATACTCTTATCAGACCTGACACATATTTCAATATTGCAGATGACCGAGATAAACTATCGAATACTTGTAACGCAGATTTTCTCTGATTTTCAGGGCGCGAACGGCCCGAGACCGACATACGTGGGCGCCAACAACGGTAACGCGGGCGGTGCCGGTGGAGGCGGCGCCGGTGGCGGCGGCGGCGGAGGTGGTGGTGGCGGCGGCGGTGGCAGCGGTGCCAGTGCCGGTGGCGTCGGCGTGGGACCCGCGGCCGGCGCTGGAGGTGGTGGCGGCGGTGGCGGTGGCGGTGGTGGTGGTGGCCACGGTTTGAAGGGCAACGCGGGCGGCGGGCCGAGGGGCGGCAATCCGGTGCAGTATCGCGCGAGCGGCGGCGGAGCGGCCACCTGGAGCACGCCGTCTCACCCGGCCGCGGCGGCGGCAGCGGCGGCCGTGTACCCGCCCTACACGCGGTATCCGAGCGCGGCGGCGGCAGCGGCAGCGGCGGTCAGTGGTCCACAGCAGCTGCCGGCTTCCGCTAATCCTTTCGTCACCGCCGCTTCTTATGCGCAGCATGCGTCGGTAAGTACGCGCCGACGTAGACGTAGCGCGGCTATGAGCTCTATAACACACCGACGCAACAACGTGGGACGGCAGGCAGCGAGAGAGGGAGAGGAAATTGTAATAGTATTCGATTTCTCGAAGGCGGGGTGCGTTAACGGGCTGCACCCGCATTTGCGAAGAGATTTATCGCGTGACTCACACACGATTCAATTTTTCTTTTGGTTCTCTCACAAATTGTCGGGCCGTATTGTTGAGTGTGCAGGTAGGTGCAGTTCTTAAATTTGTAGCTTTAGAGAAAACGAGTCATCCGCTAACTTTCGTTTCTTCAGTCCATGGAAATCTTGCAGATTTCAAGATGGATAATAGATAGTATAGGTTTGGCGACACATTGTTCATCGAATGTGTAAAAGTTTTAAAACTTTCACAATAAAATCTGAATAATCTGAAACATTGTTCCTTGAAAAATGAGTGAATATTGAGGCTTCAAATTAATATTCGAAATTTGATTTATCTTTCAATCTTTGACTGCAATATCAGTCAACGACTTCTTCAACTCCGCAATAGTACACACGAGACATTTTCATTGAATAAATAATTTTACTTAATAAAAGTCGCATTGACGAATTACTTGCCAAATTTATTTCTGTAGTTTTGTATTAAATTTTTATATCAGATCTAGTATCTAGTAGTGTTTTATATGGAATTTTTATATCAGATATACATTAATATAAAACTCCTTTATTTCAGATTTTTAAATGTGTCGTTGTTACTTGCAGTATGGGGGACAGCGGGTGCCTACTGCTTCGTCCCCTGCGAACACAAACAGCAGCTCTAGCAGTGCTACCGGTAGCCAAAGCGGAACAATGAGCACGAGTCTCAGCAATAACGCTATGCAGGGTCAGCAAACGGAGCAGCTATCGAAGACAAATCTTTATATCCGTGGCCTCAACCAAAACACAACTGATAAGGACCTCGTTAACATGTGTTCTCAGTAAGTAGCGTTAAACCGCGGCTCTGATTTGTTGTAATTTCAGAGGATTTCACTTAGAAAAAAAGCAGTTACTAATAAAATAATTATATACAACGGAGATATATTTGCTATTTGATTATATATATACACTATAGTCAAAATAAATATACAAAATTTGATATTCTCAATAATTGATAGTTATCTACTCATACTTTATATATAATTATATATAATTATATATAATTGAGATAACATATAAGATATGATAGTTATTAAACTGTTAAATTAATATAATTAAGTCACACTTTTAACCCGATGTTTTTACAGATACGGAACTATAACATCAACGAAGGCGATACTTGACAAGAATACAAATAAATGTAAAGGTACTTATACACTTTATATATTTCTAATTTATATTAATTTTATTATATCTCACTTTCTTAGGTTTGTAAATTTTGTGTTAAATCCATTGTTTTTAGCATCTATGTTTCTCTTATGTGTCAGATTTCCAATTAATGTCACGTGAATTCTTGTAGAGTTTTTTATATTAACGATAAATAATATATCTTTGTTATAATCTATGTCAAAACAAAAGAGATTTTATATGTATAATGGGGTTGTTGTTTTTTTTGGAAAATTAGAGAAATAAATGATCGTAAAGTCTTCAAAAAATATTGTAAGAGATTTCGGAAGGAACCGACGAACATATCCTCTTTTACTCATATGTGGTATATAATTGTGTTGCAGGTTATGGCTTCGTAGACTTTGAGTCACCACTGGCGGCAGAGGGTGCTGTGAAAGCACTGGTCGCCAAAGGGATCCAGGCTCAGATGGCGAAAGTGGGTATCTGGTTGCTCCGTAGACTGGACAGTGTACGTTGGTTGTGCATGCAAGTACAGTAATACCAGAGTAACAGTAAACCTCTCTTTCTCTCTCTTTCTCTCTCACATCTCTCTTCTTTTTCTCATTTTTTTCTCTGTTTCGTCTGTATCATTTTTACTTACTTCTACCTTCAAATTATTTGTTTCTCCCCCACTTTCGCCTTTATCGTCGAAATTTCTATCGAGTTAGATCCTGTCAGATTTACTCACACTCTTTCTGAGTGTAAATGCAAGACACACGTGTACTCTCGATATCGAAATATAGCACAATTAATTATAGGGAATTTTTATATAAATGCATATGTCATCTCTTCACTTGTTACAAAAAAGACATGCTTAAAGTAACATAATATTCTTCGTGAAAGAACCACATTTTGATAGACACAACATATATATAGTCGTTTTCACTTTGTACAATAGATTTACAGTACACTATTTTTTTTATTATATCGGGTATTTTAATGCACTAAATTGTATGTTTTTTTTTGCGGGAAGAATTTCCATCTTTTCTTTCTCTCTTTCTTTCTGACTTTCTACCCTCTCCCCTTTTGTCTTTCTCTTTCTCTCTTATTTATCTAGATATTTTCTTCCGATACTTTGTTTGTCATTCTTTCTTATGTACCTCCCTACCAGACCTATCTCGATGCTTGCTGCTGTATCTCGGCCACAGATTATAGCCGATACTATGCTATGTCGACACGTTTACGATCGTCATGTCTCATGTCCGAGAATTGCATTCGTTTCAGCACTAATTTCAAGCTGCCCCCCTCCCTCCATTCCTTCTCCTCTTCCTCTAGAGTCTTAATAACAAATCGTCCTCTATGAAATTCTTAGAGCTTCATTTCACCTTATAGTCATCAATTCGGTGAAAAACTCGATAAAGACGAAATAAACGAAAGTATCACATTGAAATATGGCAGCATAAGCGACATAGCGGCCTTAGTATAGTATAATGTCGGTATATCATTGTACAATATATACATGCCCAATTATATTCCCCATATAACGTCAACGATACGAAGAGAGAGCATACCTCGAACTCGACTCGTGCCATCAAATTAGAGATTTTAATTACATGCTAGTTTGTCGAAACAGTTACAGTAAAAAAAAAATCGAACAAAGAATTAGTCTTGAAAATTAGATTTCATTCTATTCCGTTCGATATTCCGTTCGGTTCAACTTTCCGTTCTCTCGTTATCTCCGCATTTAGTTGAGTTCCTCCTTGAGGCAACGATCGAACGAACGATAGAAAAAGAGCACACACGTACACGTGACACACACACGCACACACACTGTGCCGAGAACGAGAAGAGAGTATCGGCTCCCGCCTTTTTCGTATCATTTGCTCCAAACGACTAACTAACAGAATGGTTCCGCTAATTTTGGCCGCGGTGAAAAGCACGGGGTGCTATCCAGCAACTGTGATAATGCTGATGATATGATATTGATGATGATAATGACGATGATTATAATGATGATGATGATGATGATAATGATGATGATAATGATAATGATAATGATTATATCGATCGCATGTGACATGATACAAAACTAAACTACGATACTCGTACTCTTTATTAACTCGTGCCCAGAGGTACGCGGTTATTACTCGCTATTATTCAGCAGCGATGCTATGCGAGATCAGATCAGGCGCTGTCTTACCCTCAGGGTGTTGGTTGGTTGGTCTGATTGACACACACTTGGCTTATATATAATTAAAGTTTAACCAGCACACACCTACAGGTTTAAGCTGCGTGCAGTTCGGGAGCTCGTCGTGAGATTCGAACTCACTCACTCGACTGATTAGCAAGAATCGATAACGAACGAGCGATTTGTACACACACACACACACACATATATATGTGTTGTACATATAATTACTGGTTTCGCGAAATATTTAGCGATGCTTAACTTCGCAATCGCTCATAACTCGAATATTGCCGTGATCTCCGCATTCTCGCGTTAGGAATTTCGACTAATTAATATTCAGAATACATTATTGAAATATTTCACAGTTGCCTCGAGGTGTATGAAATATAGTAGATTTATACATGTGATGTATATATCAGTTACAGAATTATACGGAGATTGAATAGACGAAGACATTCGAGGGAGTATTCTTTTCGAATCTTACACGCGAGATTCTCAGCGCGCAAATCGTACTTGAGGAATCTGTGAATTATCTTATCGTGATAAGAGTACATTAAGATGTAATATTCGATCATACTTATATACAGGATGTCACAGAATGAACGGCAGAATCAATAATAGACTCAACAGTGGAATTTGCTTTTTTGTTCGAAATGATGATTCGCTTTGTTAAAAGTGACAGTTCATTCTGCGACAACCCATATACATATGCGCACGTGTAAACGCGTGTACATGATACATATATGTCCACGCATATACGTACACCTGCGTATACATATGTATACATATATATATATATATATAAATAAATATTTAAATGCCATCAGCTTGGCTTATATCATGATATTTTCATTATTCGTTTCTTTTTTCTTTTAATGCATTCGCAAGATTGAAGTAAATTGTCGTAAAGTATAAGTATATTCAAGTAATCGTAGATCTTTTTTCATTGATTCTTTACGGAAGCGGTGGATCTCGAAATATGCTTGAGGGTGCATAATGTCAATCGATCTTCGAAACTTCCGTTTAGCGTATCTCTCTTTCTCTCTGTCTTCCTCTATCTCTTTTGTTTTCTTTCTTGTTTTATTTTATTTAGTTCCTCTTTTCTCGCTTAATCGTAAGTGAGAAACCGGAGCATGAACACATGTATATGTACATCCATATATTTAACATATATTATGTGTTTTGTGCGATCTGCACTCGTCAAGTCCTCTCTCTCCTTTCTCTTACTTCCATATTCTCTCTCTCTTTTTCTTTCTCTCTTTCTCTCTCTTTTCCTCCCTCCCTCCTTCCCTCCCTCCGTCTCTCCGTTTATTTACTCATATACGATGTAACTGTATATACATATATGTATATATATATACGTGGAGATGCCTGTGCTTCTTTACCACGCTTTCTCTTTTTTTCTTTCTCTCTCTCCAATGAAATGTCAAATGTTACTTCTTTTATTCTTCATTACCGCTTTGAATGGTTATCTGTAAAAACGACGGAGACATATCGACGCTTACATAATGTTAAAATAGACAGAGACTGTACAGAGCGTTCGTAAAATACGCGGCTAAACATGACAGGATCGGTGTATCGAAAGATTAGAAAAGGTGTAGAAAGTTTTGACGAAAATCCCACGTAAATACTTCGTTCAACAAGTTAAATCAAGTAAAGAATCACAGAAGAGCGATTTAACTTCGAATAAGTAATTTGTGTTTAGTCTTTCATTAATAGCGGCCCACGCACCATAAAGTCACTTTTTAACGTTTGCTTTAGATTCTCTGCAACGTAAACAGACCGCATGACGACTCACGAATCTTTATTTTAAACAAAGTCACCAAAGTTAACGCCAAAGTTAAAGATCCGAACGAGTAAACGTTACATTTAGTCAACAATTTGGCTTCAGCAGTAAAAGATTCGCTTATCGCGTCAACAGTTCTTTACATGAATCACTATAGTGTTAACATGAATGTTAATTTTAAGAGAAATATTAGTTTAATGTGTTTTTCATTTTTTTACGAGTATATACATGTAACAGTTATCGGGAAAGAATTAAGAAGTGAAAGATAATCTCATTGCATTAATATATAAGAATTTCTTGTGTCTTCTCTAATTTTTTGACAAATTGTCTGACCGTGTGTTTTACGAATATTCTGTGCACACTTATTATACTTTACTTATTATTATCGTCACGATACTCAAGCACCGTTCGTTAATTCGAGATTAAATGATATCACACGAACGAGTGTTTCAAGAAAGTTTGTCTAATTTAGTCGCGTAAAACGCGTTACAGAATGTATGCACAGGCGACGTATCCACTGTCACTATTTCGCAAGATATTTAGTCTACGAATGAAACCTTGACTAACGTACCAACGGCCCTTCGTCTTAGATTATACTTGGAATTATTGATGTAATGTTGCAATTTTCAGTTTTATTGATTTCTTTCAACTGTCTCTTTACGTCTGATTTTTTTATTTTCTCGTCTATACACTCACTCACCTCTACCTCTGTCGTATCTATTTCTTAGGGCTTATCTGTAGAAAAAAAAATGAAAAAAGAAATCGATGAAACTTTACGATAGAGCTGTGAATTTTTGCGCGAGGACTGTTTAACGATATCGTACGATGTGTATGTGTGTGTATAGAGTACATCCGTGTGAGCATGCTCCGCGCGCGGATGATGCGGGATGCGCTTGAGAAAAAATGAAAAAAGGAAAGAAAAAAGAAAGAAATGAAAATGAAATTCGGGAGAAACGTTCCTAGAGGTAGCGTTTGCGATCGCAAAGAAAAGATATTTCTATCGAATGCATCCGAGAAGCAAATTTAGAGAGCCACCGGAATGTGGTAAACGTAATTTGCCATGAAGCATGACAACCTTCTTCTCTCTTCCGACGTTGAGATTAATATTACTGTCACGGTTCCGATCGATCCTTGATTCTCATTTCGTTTTGCACTCTCTTGGGATTAGTTCGGCGGATGATTCCCGATCTAGTTTAACGATCTCTTCAAGTAGTGTCACTGTTACGTAGAAGTTATTATACATTTGTGTTTCGACCGAGAGTACATGTACTTCTCGTTCACGTGTATCGCAAATTTACTTCTTCCTTAGACACGTGAGACTACGCGAGAGTTAGAAGCATCGTTTATCGCCTTGAGAACATCTGAAACTTTCGTCTTTTCGTGTATTATCTCGACGTTGCTCGGTGAACTGGGAAATATCATTTTAACATTCCAGACTAAGCGATGAGATCACGCGATCACGGTTCGCTCGTTCGTTCTGCCAGACTCTCCTAATTATTTGCTCACACTTTCTATATCGATATTTACAGTTATGATATATTTCTAACATGAAGATTTACATATATGTATGAATATTAATAACAACTTGTCTCTCTGTTATACAGAATATATCACCGAAGTACTTGGACGAATACCTTGCAAGTGTATTTCTTCGTCAATTCCTTTATCCTGAATTAAAGGACAACTTCTGTGTGACTTTTGAGGCGATATTTACTTCATAAAAATTTAATCAGATTTTGTTTTTTCTTTAATTGCAAGATATGACCAAGAAGATCTGCAATGTTTGCCCAAGCATTTTTGCGATTATCTGTTTACGGTATTGTTGAACATGTGAATATAGGTTGGTTGAGTCTTGCATACATATTCTTAAATCTCTCATGTTTATTCTCTACCAACAACATACTTAATCAACAAACAATGTAACGATTACAAAATCGCTATTCCAAATTCATTTGTCGCGTCTCGTCTCGTCTGTGCATTCATTTATGTGTTATTGACGAGAACACACGGATCAACGATAACGACAGTCGGGGAAGTTAAAATGATAAGCTATATTCGTATCTGTCTGAGAAAGTCGATATACATATATATATATAAATATTTATTTATTATGTCGCTTTATTATACAATCTAGTTGCAAAATATTTTTGCTCTCTTCTCAGCAACAGGAGCAGGATCCGACCAATCTGTATATTGCCAACCTGCCGCTTAACTTCAAAGAGAACGATGTGGAGACACTGCTCGCCCAATACGGACAAGTCATCTCGACCCGCATACTGCGCGACACCTCTGGACAAAGCAAAGGTGTCGGTTTCGCAAGGTGCGTATACTTCACGATCTTGACAAATTATATTCTTTATTTATGTTTGGAATATCAAATGAGATTATTTTTAACTGCGTTTGCCTGGACTTTTACAGGATGGAGTCTAAGGAGAAATGTGAACAAATAATCCAGATGTTTAATGGCAAGGCTCTAGCGGGGGCTAAAGACCCCTTACTAGTTAAATTCGCCGATGGTGGTAATAAGAAGAAATCTTTATTCAAAAGTACAATATGGAGAGAAACTGGCGAAGTACGTATCTCTCATTCTTCATAAAATCATGCAAATTTTATATTTTTTACTGTGATTGCGATATATAATCCTTATATTTTTTATATCATATCAATTATATTATTTGTATCTTAAAAAAATAATTCATCCAAATATTTATAGAGATCTTAGAGTTTGTTTTTCAAGTTCTAAAAATTTGTCTAGTTCAACCGTAAATCAAAGTAAATCTATATATGATGATTAATAAATGATCTATATATTGAGGTTGTTCCAAATGCAAACTTATTTTGTCTTTTCTAGAACATGACTTTGAATTACGACACGAGCGGAGTCGGTCAGAACGGCGTCGCCGCGACTCACATGCTTCCTGCAGCGACCCTGACGCAGTATAGTCGTCACTACAGTCAAGCATTGCCTGGTTACAGCGTGCCTGGTACCCCATGGGTGGCCCCTTACCTCGTTCAGACCGCCCCACCACATATGCAACAGGTCGACGTGAGTTTTTGTACACTTTTCGTTCATTTCGTTCCTGCTTCTTTGTACGCACGAGCGACAGAATATAATTTCTGTGCTCAGATTGCGCGTTTCTCGGCCGCGAAAGAACAGTTTATTTTTCACTTTAACTGTGTTACGAGTTACTTTTTTCTCGTATTTACCTGTTTTATCTATTCTATATTTTGAGGCGATTATTTTCACAGTCATTTTTGTTATGCTCTGTCGAGCTTTGCTCATCAAATCCATTTGTCTGTTATAGATGATACCATCAGCTGATCCTAGCAATCCGCAGTACAGTATGATTCCTCAGCTTACTACGCAAATGTCTACCTTACATCTTGGCACTGGTTCCGTAAGTATTAGCTCTCTGTTTCTTAGCGAGTAGCACGAGCAATACAAAATTTCGAAGGACGTCTTGAAAATATTTTCTGCATATTTTTAAGATACTTATTTATAGTTAAGGTAACTCTTTTAGACGTCGATGTCTTTCGAATAATATGGTCATTTAGGTAAGTAGGCACGAGCTATCGCCGGACAAAATCTAATCGTTTCTCGTTTCTTTTTCAGTACATTGCGAGCCCGCATCCGTATCCGTACACTACTTACCCTGCCCCGAGCATCATACATACCATGCCGCTGGGCGATTCGGAGCAGACGAGTAATGCGGCGTCCCCGGACGACTCCTACCAGCAGTACCAGGCTCAGCAGCCTAAGTAGGCCACGGTTTATAGGTCAGAATTATACCCCCTCCCCCGATACACGATATCGCGCTGAAATAATCCCTTTACTTGCAATAAGATGACAGTGAAGGCTAAAAAGGCGATCTTTTTTTGATTGCAGACGTACGTTCGCGCGGAGGATCACCGTAAATTAGAGAAAAAGAAAAACCTGTTATAAACACACGTACAGCGACAGAACGAAAGCTAGAGTGTAGAAGAGAGTGAAAGAACGATAGAGAAATAACGAAAGGGAGAAAGAGAGAGAAAGTGAGAGAAAAGCGTGAAGGGGATTATATTAATGAAGAAGAGATAAAGAGTAAAATATATTACGTAAAAAAAGTCAGATAAGATTCTTCCTCACGATAAATTGACTTGCCAGCCATCTTTTATACGTTTTATCCATCAGATAAATAGGTGAAAGTAGTTGATATTTTGCAACGAGTAGTAGAGAGTATGAGTGTTACGAGAGGGTGTGAGCGCAAGAGTGAAAGCGTGCGAATGAGAGAAACGAAAATGAAAGAAATAAAGGGAAAAGAGCACGAGAGCAACCACGTGTCGTCCGCGGGCGCACGTGTGCGACATCGGTACGGCTCCGTTAAAACTATAAATGCCGACACGAATACTCCTGTACACACAGATACATACGCATATAGACACATAACATACGATGACAATGACAAAACCGATCTATATACGAGGGACAGTTTAGTGTCAAGCTGATAGGCTTCCATGATAACTTTAGGTAACTTTACATTTATTAAGCAGATTGTAAGACAAAACTAAACGAAAGCAAGAGAGAGAGAGAGAGAGAGAGAGAGAG